ATTATGATGGTCTCATGGTTAATTGGTTTTTCTAGGACTTCCCACATGATGTTTCGAGGGGCTATTCCCTCAGCTGAGCTTGCCAGACGAGCAAGAGCATCGGCTTGATGATTTTCCGAGCGGGGGATGTGCTTTATCTCAAAGCTTTCAAACATCTTTGCCAACTTCTCATCTTTCTCAAAGTAAGCCTTCATGTTTTCTTTCCTCACTTCAAATTCTTTTTTCATTTGACCCACAATGAGCTGAGAATATGAGCATACTTGAATCGACTTGATCTTCATGAATTGACACAAATTTAGCCCCAAGATAAGAGCTTCATATTCAGCTTCATTATTAGATGCATGAAAAAGCGAACTTGATGGCATATTCAAATTTCTCTCCCTCTAGGGAGGTGATGACTAGCCCAACCCCACTCCCGGCCTTACTAGACAACCTATCAACAAAAAGAGTCTAGGGGGTTGAGGTGTCCATTGGGGTAGGCCTGTGGGAGAATTTTGTAATAAAATCGGCTAGGGCTTGGGCTTTTATTGCTTTGCGGGGCTCAAATTCAATGTCGAAGTCTGCTAGTTGGTCTGACCAATCTGTCATCCGGGCGGAGTGATTCTTACTCTCTAACACCTTCTTGATTGGCTGGCTGGTAAGAACTTTGATAGGGTATGCTTGAAAGTATGGCTTCAACTTTCTACTAGCCATCACTAAAGCGTACACCACCTTTTCAATAAGAGTGTACCTCGTCTCAGCCCCCCTAGGGCATGGCTGATAAAATAGACGGGAATTTGGCCTTCTTCCCTCTCAGCCAGAAGAACCGCACTCAAGGCATAATCAGATATGGCTAAGTACACAAATAATGTCTCCCCGAGCAGGGGGCTAACAAGCTTCGGGGTATTCATCAAATGCTCTTTCAATTGCTGGAAGGCTTTCTCAGCTTCCTCATCTCACATGAACTTAGGCCGCTTGAGGGCCTTGAAAAAGAATAAGCTTTTGTCAGCTGACCGAGATAGAAACCGTCCAAGCGTAGCTAGGCAACCTGTGAGGCGTTGTACTTCTTTCACATTCCGGGAGGGATTCCATGTCAAGTATGGCTTGGATTTTCTCCGGGTTGGCATCAATGCCACGTTGATCCACCATAAAACCAAGGCATTTCCCCCTTGTACCCCGAAGACACATTTGCTGGGATTGAGCTTCATTTTATATTTCTAAGGGTGGTGAATGTTTCCCTTAGGTCTGCAATGTGATATGAGCTTTATTTACTTTTAACAATCATGTCATCAACATAAGCTTCAATATTTCAGCCCAGCTTTCCTTCAAAGATCTTGTTCATCAAGCATTGGTATGTAGCCCCAGCGTTTTTCAAGCCGAAGGGCATGACATTATAGCAATAAACCCCTTGGCTTGTGATGAAATCTGTGTGGGATTGATCTTTCTTAGACATGGGAATTTGATGATACCCGACATTGGCATCCACAAAACTTAGGAAGGCGTGACCAGCGGTCGAATCCACCAACCTATCAAACTTCGGCAGAGGGTGATCATCCTTCGGGCAGGCTTTGTTCATGTCTGTAAAATCTATACACATACGCCAAGAGCCATTTGGCTTTTTTTACAAGCACAACATTGGATAACCACTCAGTGTATTGGCATTCTCGAATGAAACCCGCTTCGAGAAGCTTTTTGACCTCTATTGTTGCTGCTTGATTGCTCTCCGGCCCGGCATGTCTTAGCTTTTGCTTGACAGGCTTGTAGCCTTCCTTGACGTTCAGCTCATATGTCATGATCTCAGGGTCTATGCCTGACATCTCGTCTGCTGTAAAAGAGAAGACATCTTGAAATTCTTTAAGTGTTTCAATGATTTTCTCCCTGAGCTGGGGGTCTAAGTTATTCCCACTCTCACAGTCCGAGCGGGGTCATCCCCTAAGGGTATGCTCTTATCTTCCTCAGTAGGCTTAGGCCTACCAACCTGCTTGGGGTTCTCAGCCAGGAATATGCTCATCACGGGATGCGGTGAATCATCTACCTCCATTGCCTTCCGCTTGGACCCCTTGTCCTCTTGATTGACTGAGGTTTCGGGTTGTTTCAAGCTGTCAACATAACATTTCCTCCCTTCAAACTGATCTCCATATAACTTTCCAACGGAGCCATCATCAGTTTCGAATTGGAGAAGTAGAAGATAGGTTGAGATGGCGGCTTTGACCTTGTTGAGTAAGGGCTGACCAATGATCATGTTGTATGGCAGAGGAGTGTAAACAACTAAGAATGTGAATATCAAGCTTCTCCCTTTCCCCTAGGCGAATTGGTAGCTTGATTGTCCCCAAGGGATAGACATGTTGCTCCCCGAAACCGACTAATGGCTTGTCAAGGGGTGTGAGGTCTCCTCTGCCAAAACGCATCTGTTCAAGGCACTTCCAAGTAATTATGTACTGTTAGCTGAGCTCCCACTATCCACCAAAATCTTCTTGACATTGGCATTGGCCACCTTCATATGAATCACTAGAGGGTCATCATGGGGCCTTTGGATCTTCTTTGTAGCTTCATCCCCAAAGACCATGAGAGGGTCCTTAGGGGTGGATGAGGGGTGCCGATATCATAGATAGGCTCCTCAAGCGACCGCAAATGGCTTTTGCGTGCTCTGTTAGAAAAGCCCTCGGAGGCATATCCTCCAGCTATGACATTGATGCTTATGTTGGTATCGGCTGAGCTATGAACCTCTTGTGCGACTCTGGAAGCTTTGCATTTATGTTTGTCTCTTGGAGGATCCTTGAGGTATCGGTTAACCTTGACTTCATCTGCTAGCTTATCAAGTGCTCTCTTGAGTTCACGATAATTTCGGGTGGTATGACCACATTCTTGATGGTATTCGCACCACAACTTTTTGTTTCCTTGTTCTATTGGAATTTTCATTGGATTCGGCTTGGGGAGGATAGCCTTGTTTTTTATGTCCATATAGATCTCACGCCTATCAACATTGTATCTAAGCCCTTCATCATTGCTCTCGATCCTCCTAGGCTTTCTATTTTTGTTTTCTTGGTAGTAATCATCGTGCTTCCTCTTCCCTTTATCCTTAGCCGAGGGAGTTTTGCACACATTGCTGGCCTCGATGATCCTCTCGGCTCTCTCCATGGCCTCGGAGAAGGAGGTGACTTTATCATGAACAAGCTCGAACTTCAGCTTGTTAGACCTAAGCACAAAGAGAAGGGCCGTGAAGGCAACGTTATCCCGGAGGTCTGGTATGAGCTAAGACTCAGTGTTGAATCTTTTGATATAGTCTTTCAAACTTTCATTCTCCCCTTGTTTCACAGTTATCAAGTGAACGCTGGTCTTTGTCTGCCTAGAGCCAACGATGAAATGCTTCTTGAACAAGGTGGATAGCTTCTCAAATGTCCTGATGCTCCCCGGGGCGAGGTTATTGAACCAAGTCTGAGCAATGCCCTTGAGGGTGGTAGGAATGAACATACACCATGATGCCTCACACCCGATTTGGACGCCCATTTGTGCCTTATAAGCATTCAAATGGTCAGTCGGGTCTGTTTTACCATCATAGTGCTCCAAAGTAGGTATCTTGACCTTCGGAGGAATCGAGGTATTCATGATCTCTTGGCTGAAGGGAGTGATGTTCTTAACAGTTCCAAGCCTCCTCCGCTTGGGGGAGGGGGAACGCTCAAGACTTCCACTTGCTGAGCGAGCAGGCCGAGAGGAGGTCCTTCTTCTTTGCCTTGAAGTGGTTGAGTTAGCTAAGCTATCACGGTATCTGGTTGAGTCATGATTAGAGTGAACTCTAGTTCGACCTCTCTGGGGCGGATCATCTTCCTTAGAGTTTCCCCGCCTTGAGTTGATTATGTCACGGGCATCCAAAGTTCCTTCCCTCAGCCTTCGGTCATTGATTATGTCTCTAGCATCTCTTGGTCGGCTTGGCTGTCCTGACTCTCGCTGGGCTACAGGAGATGGACGTGGTCGCGAACGATGGGACTCTTGGTGCTGAGGCCGAGAGGATCCTTGATGGAGTAGGGACAAGTGAGGCTGAGGGTTAAGCTGAGGAGCGTCCCCCAACCTACCTTGCCCCTCAACCTGGTTAACTAGTGCCCTAAGGCTCTTTTCAAAGTTTTTGTTGATTGGGCTACCAGCTGCTTCAAATCCCGACGGGTGACTATATGAGGGCTAGTCACCTCTCCTATGGGCTCGCTCCGAGCTTGGGGTACAATCTCTTCGTCTATATGAGCATGCCGAGCCGAGAGAATTGGAGCTTGTCTAGTAGCATCTTGAGACTTTCGAGGACGCTTAGCGTTCACCATAGCTTTTAGTTTGTTATCCCCACAGACGGCGCCACCTGTTTCTGGAAACAGAATGCTCCTTGGAGTGTTAGGGTATGGTATCAAGATGTCCTAGAGACTAAGTTCAAGTATTGTCCAAATGTTCTTCGGCTCCGCCTACCAAGGGTATGTCAAAGAGCTAGGCTTGCAAAACAGAGAAGATTAGCTGCCTCGGGGGTGTGACCCAGAAAAGCCCCTTCGATGCTTAAGTCAGCAAGTGTACTTTCTAGAGAGAGAGAATTAGGAAAAAGTTTCCATCATTAATGAATGATGAGCTATTTATAGTTGTACTTTTCAGGTGGCAGATTTGTACTTGAGTGGACAGATTAAGGGCAAATCCGTACTTTGCAAATGACTAATGATGGGCTGGATCATGGAGGGGTATTTTCGTCATTTCAGGTCATTGGGCTTAGGATAATGGACTTGGCCCAAACAATAATAACATTTATTTTATCATAATCATGTTACTAAAAAGTATATGCTCGAAAGCTAACAATTCCTCTATTTCACTAAATTTGCAATACTTGTACAGTGGAGCTAGCTTAGCTCGATATCAATTAAGAAATTTAATTTTTTTTAAAAATTTGGGGATGTGATATTAAAATATCAAAAATTTGGGGATGGTATTAAAAAATCAAAATAAACGGTTTGTCACTTTTAACCCTTTTTCTTCTAAATAAAAATGGAATCCATCACTGTTCACTGCCCATAAATAGTTGGCTGAGTTTTTCTCCACTAAAATATTCTAATTCGACGGAAATTGCCGTTCTCATGTCTCATAAATTACAGACTATTTTAATGGTGAAAAAGCCAAAGTTTTTGCAGAATTTTGGACCAACCTAAACCCCCATTAAAATAACCCAAAAAATTTTAAATTTAATTGAAAACTATTTCACTAATTTACTATTAATGGGTTGAATTTTATAGATTCACTTAAAAATTAATAGCCACCGTTCCCACTAATTAATTCCCCTTTTTCACAAATACTTATACTCTTTAAATTTTCTTGTTTTACTCTCAATCTTCTTTTTCATGGCATCTCAACCTCCATTGATGATTTCTTTCTTCTCTAAAGCCCTGTTTGTTTCTCTGCAATTAATTTCTTCCTAAATAAATTAATCAAAAAATAAATAAAAATTCCCCCTTTTTTCCATTTTTCCTCTGTTGACTTATTTGGTACGCTTCTCTCTTTCTCTCTCTAATTTTTGATGTTTTTAATTAAGGGTAATTAATGGGTAATTAATTATTTTCAACATTTCCTAAGTACTATCTTTGACTGTTTTGTATTGGTGGGTATCTTGTCTTTCAATCTTTGTTGATTCTATACATATATTTATATTAGCATATATAAATAGCAGTCTTACTAGTCTAAACTTTGTTTTAGTATGTGGGTCTTTGAGATTTGATAGAAATCATTAAGCTAATTAGGAATCACTAATCATCATTTGCTTCTTAATCCCCTTTTTCTGATTTGGGTATGGTCTAATATCCTTCTAATTAGTAATGATTATATTATACTTCATTATACTTCATTAGTCAATCCTATTGTTGTATAATTTTTTTTTTTTCCAATTTGTGGCATATTAGCAAATATTTGATCTAATGTTTTATAACCCTAGCTTATATGAAGTTAATTTGGGTAATAGGATTGAATATTTTGTTAGAGGGTAAAATATGTCTGATTTTTCAGGCAATTTGTGGTTGTTTGTTCTTGTTTGGATTATCTTCGGCTTAATCACCTTTTTAGCTGTTAATCACTCTTAATTTAATTCTGTAATTAATTAGAGGAAATAAATTCTTCTTCTTGAAATTGTTTGACTTGTGGTTTATGTGATGTTGAGGTTTTTGAAGAGAGTTTTTCTGAAGTATACTGTAATAATGTTTTACATACTATATTGTTGTGATTTTGCAGGTTTTTAAAGGTTTAAAGTTCTTTAATGTCCAAAGGCAAAGAAATTGAGGAAAAACAAGTTGATATGGAAGGCAATGAATTCGATGAGCAAGAGTATGAAGAAGTTGGAGATAATTTTTACACCTGTGAATCCAATGAAGAGGATGTTATAGATTTGAATTCCTCTGCAGGAGCTCATTGGATTGTTTCAGATGAGCCACGGCCTGATAAAATTAGGAAGAGTAATGCTTCTTCCTATGTTGATTTCGGGCTTGTATCCTTAAGTATCCAGTCTCAGGATGCAGATTATATACACTCTCATGTTCCTCAACTCAGTGATGAGTTGGAGAATATGATTATTGCTAGAATTCCGCTTTTGGAATTCAGGAAACTGTGCTTATTGAACAAAAAGTTCTTAGCACTAATAAAAAATGGGGATTTATTGAGAGAAAGGAGAATGATTGGTGTAAGGGAAGCATCAGTCTTCATGCTTGCCAGTGGGGAGGATAATTGGTGGGCATTTGATCAGCAGTTTACATTCCACAAGGCACTTCCTGTATTACCTTGTGATGGTGTCTTTAGACTCGGCGATAAAGAGTCTCTTTGTGCCGGGACTCATCTTCTTGTTTGTGGGAATGAGTTGGATGGACCTGTCATATGGACTTATGATGTGATCATGAACAAATGGTTCAAGGGTATTTCCATGATTCAGCCTAGGTGTTTGTTTGCCTCTGCATCATCTGGTGGCTTAGCCTATGTAGCAGGAGGCATTGGTCTGGAGAGTGGAGGGATTTTGAATTCAGCTGAGAAGTATGATCCTATGACCAGATCGTGGGAGCCGCTCCCAAGGATGAAAGTAAAAAGGAAGATGTGCTCTGGCGTTTACATGGATGACAAATTCTTTGTCATCGGAGGACAAAGCCAAAATAATGAAGTTCTAACCTGTGCTGAGGTTTTTGATGAGAAAAGAAATATTTGGGTGGAAATACCGGGAATTTTGAATGGTTTAACACTACCCTCTTCTCAGTCCACCCCGTCTCCACCTCTAGTTGCTGTTGTTAACAATGAGCTATACACTATCGAAACTTCAACAAACAGCTTGATGGTGTATTTAAAAAACAGCAATTCTTGGAGGGATTTGGGCCCTATTCCTGTTCGAGCTGATATAAATAAAGGTTGGGGTGTGGCCTTCAAGTCTCTTGGCGACGAGTTGCTGGTCATAGGTGGATCGACTATATCACTCTCAGGCCGTGGTATGACTATTTATACTTGCTGTCCTTACCCGAGTGCTGAAACCTTGAACTGGAAGCTCCTTGATGATGGTGGTGGCAATAGACGAAGTCATTTTATTATGAATTGCACTGTTATGGTTGCTTAAAGGCTTAACTTTTCAAAACTTGAGCCTTCTATATTTCGCAGTAATATATTATAATTAAGGTTATAAGCCAGAAATTTAGGCCCTCAAACTGTAACATCTGTTCCTTTTCAGTTTTGTGTTTTGTCTTGATTTTATGTGATTCGAGTGACTTGTATTCATATCATGGTTGTGTTGTGCTTCATTTTACCTTGATATTTTGATGAGTTTCCTGAAAAGAATGCTCAACCAGTATGAACTTGTATTATTCGAACTTTGTCTTACGAATTTGCACAAACTTCCTTGAATGATGCATATGTACTGTGTCTTCCTGTCTGCTGCCATACTGTCATGAATTCCAGTATGATCATTTCATACTTTCCTGAATTTATGTTAGTGTATGATTCTCATACTTATTCTAATGGTTGCTTATTCTTCTACAAAATTCGGGAACTGTATTATTGCAGCAGATTTTATTCACTTTTGAGCTCTGTTGCGACTGTTTCATTCATCATGAATAACTCGTAATTCTCCTCCATGACAAGATATGAACCGTTGAATGTTCGTGTATCGGCTAATGTCTGTCTGTCTAGATTTGCTACCTTGTACCATTCCATTTGATGCTTGGGGCGTTTTTTTTTTTCCTATCTTTTCTTGGAGTTAACTTGTTATAGGTTCCTGGGAAATTAAGGTATTAAACTATGCATAGGGAAAACAATATCAAAATCAAAAGCTTTTGAAGATTGTGAAACTTGTATAAAGTTGCTTGTAGATTGTATGACGCAGTATCTGGACATATAATGTTAAAAGAGTGCATAGATGAGTTAAACTAGAGTTTAGAGCTTTGATAAAGGTTAGAATCTGATAATCAACTTTTGTAAAAAGGAGAGATTGCAAGTCTCAAAAATACAAGCGCCTTTATGTTAGTCTCGGGTAATTGTATTAGACACGGATATGGGAGTAATTATTTTGGCTTTTTGGCTTTTGAGTAATGCACATAAATTACGTCTAGGAGAGTTTTTAGTAAGCTTGTAAAGTACGAAGTAATATAGAGCAAAAGGTAATTATTCCTGATTTTCTTAGCTTGATCCCTTGATGTGAGGTAAATTGAGTCTACCTCCTCATTCATTTGCATAACCATTAGTACTCACATAATTACACTAGATAATCATCAAATGTAGCTCCTCGTATTAGATAGTTTAGTTGGCTAAAGTTTTAATTTTTACGACCGTGATTTTTTATTTTAAACACTTTGGTCATGAATTTTTTAATCAATAACTTTAAAAAACAAATATGATTGATAATCGGTAAAAAAAGTTTTATCTAGTAAAAATAATCTAGAGCCCAATTTGATCATCAATTGTAATTTATTTGTAAGAGATTATATTGTTATGTATTGAACATAAGACCTCATAGAATGAAGACCAACTTATTACCATCTAAGCTAAAAACTAATCATGTTCTATCTATGCACATAAATATATAAATACATATTAAAAATAAAAGCAAAAATTATTCAAAGTGTCGTTGTATTATTATAAATTACTTAGGGCCGAATACTAGTTTTTTTTGTTAAAAAAAATCACAAATAAACCATTAAACATATTACTCGTATTAGTCATAATTTTAGATCGCTAAACGCAAAAGAGCATAAACTTTCAAACGGCAATAGTTACCATACTTAAAAAAAAAAAAAAAAAAAAAAAAAGTAGTAGAAGCCAGCTGAAACGCCCCGCCTTTCTTCCCAACTCTGAACTTCTCTGCTTCTTCTTTCTCTCTCTCTTCTCCACTCTACAATTTCAGTTCTACTGCAATCGCATTCAACAAAGAAAACCCTATTATTCCGTCAAATTTCCCATCTTTTCCCCCCTTTTTTTGATTATCAATCGATGCCATAACTTCCTAATCTAGGGTTTTTTCAGTTTAAACCCTAGATCTGAAAATCACTGCTAATTTTATTCCCAAATTTAAATCTTGGTTCTTTGTGACTTTCGCATTCCGGGGTTGTTGATCGCATTTCGCTGGTAATTTAATGCTGAGGAGAATTCAAGTTCAGGGTTTTGAATTCTGTAGTTTGTAACAGTGTGCGTGAGATGAGGTAAAGCTTCGAATTTCCCCCTTTTTAATTTCGAATTTTTGTTTATTGCTGTTGAATTTGAAGTTTGGGGAACTCAAGAACATAGAATAAGTTGTTAGTGTTAGAGAATTTGTTGATTTGAGTCTTGTTTTGTTAGTGGGATTTTGGAAATGTCTGCAAATACTAACAATAATCAACCCAAGAATATTGGGGGATCAATGTCATCCCCATTTGGAAATGCTGGAATGGTAAACCCTAATTTGCCCCCAAATTTTAACCCATCATCATCATCTTCCCAACCTCAAGGTCAAAATCAGCCTCATCAGTTAGGGTTTGGGTTTCAGAATCAGTTTCAATTAGCCCAAGCACAGGCTCATGCCCTGGCTCAAGCGCAGTCGAAAGCGGCTGCTGCTGCCCATGCTCATCTTTTGCAGGCTCAGGGTATGTCCCTTAATCAGTCACAAGCTATGGGGATGGGTAATTTAGGGGGTAATTCATCTCCTTCGATGTCAGGACCGGGGAATTCGGGTATTAAAAGGATCCCTCAAAAACCCCCTGTTCGCCCTCCAGGACCCTCGGGTGGGATTAATTTAATGTCCCCTATGAGGAATATGATGGACCTTACACCCGCAGCTGCTGCTCGGAGGAAGAAGCAGAAACCTCAGGAGAAGCATTTGAGTGATAGGGTAGCTCCTATATTGCCTGAATCTGCTTTGTATACTCAGCTTCTTGAGTTCGAGTCTCGTGTTGATGCTGCATTGACAAGAAAGAAGATTGATATTCAGGAGGCTTTGAAAAACCCTCCCTCTGTTCAAAAAACTCTTCGGATCTATGTGTTTAATACGTTTGCTAATCAGAATCAATCTGCTCCAAATAAGCCAAATGCGGAGCCACCTACATGGACGTTGAAGGTGATAGGGAGGATATTGGAGGATGGGGTGGATCCCGAGCAGCTTGCTGCAATGAAACCAAACCCAATGTACCCAAAGTTCTCTAATTTCTTTAAGAGGGTTACCATTGCATTGGATCAGAGACTGTACCCAGAGAACCATTTAATAGCATGGGAAAATTCTCGGGCATCTGCACCCACTGAGGGTTTTGAGGTGAAAAGGAAAGGGGACAAGGAATTTATGGTCAATATTCGATTTGATATGAACTATATGCCTGAGAAATTTAAGCTTTCACCACCTTTGACAGAACTTCTTGGTATAGAAGCTGAGACTCGCCCTAGAATTATAGCTGCCATCTGGCACTATGTTAAAGCCAGAAAGTTGCAGAACCCAAATGACCCAACCTTCTTCAATTGTGATCCACAGCTTCAGAAGGTATTTGGGGAAGAAAAGATGAAATTCACCATGGTCTCTCAGAAGATATCGCAGCATCTGACTCCTCCTCCGCCAATACAGGTGGACCATCAAATCAAGCTTTCAGGGAATAGCCCTGCTGGAAATGCTTGTTATGATATATTGGTGGACATACCTTTCCCGATACAGAGAGAGCTCTCCATGCTGTTGGCAAACACTGAAAAGACCAAGGAGATTGAGGTTTGTGATGAAGCAATTTGTGCAGCTATTAGGAAGATCCACGAGCATCGCAGAAGGAGAGCGTTCTTTCTTGGTTTTAGTCAATCACCTGTAGAATTCATTAATGCGTTAATAGAATCCCAAAGCAGAGATCTCAAAGCCGTGTCTGGGGAAGCTAGTCGTAGTGCAGAAAGAGAGCGTAGATCAGATTTCTTCAACCAACCGTGGTATGTAGCTTTATTGTAATCTTATTTAAGCATTAGAATAGTTACATGTCATTGATGCAATATTCACTGAACATATTTTAATGTGGTATTGTGATACTGCTAACAACAGGGTTGAAGACGCTGTTATTCGCTACTTAACGCGCAAGCCAGCCAATGCACCTGATGGTCCTGGAAGCACGTAGACAAGGTGGTTTGCTGAGTGAGCTGTAGGAATGCTGATTAGCCCCTCTTCATTTGCCACTGGAAGGTTAAAGCTTGTTTTCATGCTTCTCCATTGTATAACCATCTGATGTATCTTAATGCTATCATAACTGCTAAGATCACAGTTTGCTTCTTTGCCTATCTGGTGCATATCTAAAATTGAGCTATTACTTGTGAAGAGATGTTATTCTAAACTCTCCCAGAAGGGGGCTGTAGTTTTAGTTTTGTGCGTTACTACCTTACATACTCCTGAGTCCTGACTGGCAATCACCAAAACAAAGCATGGATTGTTCAGCCTTTGCTTGTGGTACATGGCTGTTAGACCCTTTAACGGTCAAGGCGGCTTGCCGTGTAAATAGAACTTATGTGCCTGCAATGCAATTAAATTTTATGTAAATTAGGTTGTTTTGGGTGCCATTATAAGTCCCTGGATGTCTTACTACTTGTTAAATGAGCTACGTTTATTCATTAGCTGAATTGTGGGCTTGTTAGCATGTTGCTTGGCGCTTGTTAGCATGTTGCTTGATTAGCTTCAGGTTTGCATAGGCACCGAGTCAGTTTGCTTAGCCATTCATGCAGATACTTTCCTAGTTTTGTCCCCCCTATATTTTGTCTGGTGACGGGCTGATGTGCTTCATCTTTACGTGCGTTTCTCTGGTTATCCTTTTTGTATATTCAGATTTTTAACTCCCTTTACTCGAGCGCTGATAAATTATTATGGATAATAACCCCGGATCTTTCTTCGCGAATTGAAATAAATTCTTTAGCATATCCACTATTTGACCGCATATCAAATGGGCTGTTAAAGTACCGACTAAGTCATCCAAACACCTCGTACTATCAATGCAAATTTGGACCAAACTTTTTTAAAAGTAGTTTCACACTTTCACCACACCGTTTCCTGGTACCACCATGAACTGATGAACCTTCAAACTATCACCATGATAGTCATACCTGGCTATCACCAGAAATCATGCGGGACGAGTCCTTAAACCATCATCCTCCTCAAATTTGAAAATCCATCAATTTTTGGATCACAATTTCCATATGCGTTCGCAATTATCATACAGGGAACGAAGATTTTAAGGATTTTTTTATTTGCCTAATTTTATTATGTTGAGTGTCTAATTTTGCATTATCTCAACGTAAATGAAGATAGATTTGATCACAAAATATCATATTCGACTACATTTCCTCTGAGACTTCTGAGTTTTTATTATGCATTATTTATTATTTTTTTTTTTTTAAGAAAAGTAGAATGATTTATGTCTACAATTCTACAAAGCAACTCTTGCGAATGAGCAAGTTTTATTGTCAACTCATATGCATATTTCTCCCATATGCATCCTTCACTTGTCAACACACCCTTGAGTACTTGACCCTACCCATTTATGTACAATAAAATTGTTAAGTATGAATAAAAAGGCGATATACGTAATCTCTGAACCCCCGAGGTGATGAGATATTCGGGTAGTAGATATCTTGGTTGGGGATATTGGTACTTGGATGGTTGGATGGCAGGATGAGGACTTAAACTTGTATCTACGCGGGTGGATATAGATGTAGATATATACCCGTTATAAGGGGTGAGTAGTAGGATGTGGTGGATACGAAAATTTTAGGTGTATATGCGTATGAGGGTGGGGGTATCTGCATTTAACCGGCTTGATTGCCATCTCTGATTAGCTATGTTAATGGATGGACGTTTGGGGTTTCGATTAATATTAATTATGTTCTTCCACAAAATCCTTACTACTCTTATCCATTACTCTACATCGATCATTGTTATAGAGAAGCTAATTATGCTAGTTGTCGATTAGCTAGCTAGCACATGTAGGTCATCTTGTCACGCATCTTTTTTGTTTTTATTTTTTTCTTTCACCATCACACGGGTAATCTTTTATTCCCTAGTAATACTCCGCATCAAATACTTTTTTTCATTAATTACATCTTCATATTAAAAATGTATAAGCAAGATAATAAAATAGACCAACATACATAGAAAACTAACTAATGAATTGACTAATATGATATGACTGCAAGAAAGCTGGATATGCGTGAATAATTAGGAATGAAGCATTGACTGGTGAAGGGCAGAGTTGCGATCCTTTTAACTGGTGTTGTGATGGCTATCATTGTTCTGATGTGTTCGGTGTATGTACCGAAAGTAAGTCATGGCAATATAAAGGATCATTTTCCATTTAATATTCAACATTTCAATTTTGGACAATAAACATAAAAAATGATGTGCAAGGACTATCATATAGACATATACTTTGGTTCATGACTTTAATTATGCGACTAATTCAGACAGTGAATCAGTTCAAACTACTAGTTATATCTTCATTCTTAAGATGACAAGACACATTAACTCAATTTAAGACATATTTTTGTTAACTAATAGACTTCTTAATTATACTACGTATTTACTACTGTAAACTAATACTCCGTAATCAAAGTTGATATACTCCGTAGTTTAATGGCTAAAGTCAAAGTGGCTTAAATTTAAGTACATTACAATGCTATGATTTTTGTTTTTTTTTTTTTTTTTTTACTACTCAATCCGTTTTACCTTGTGTTGTACAACAATGATTATTTCTTTGTTTATGTGCACATACCTTTATTTGAGCACATGACCAAAAATTAAATTAATTACAGCGTACGACTAGTCGTACGGTGAAATTCCATTGTTTTTATACAAAGTATTATACTTACAATGTTATGTTTGTTTTAAAACTTGGCAGCCCTTGAATGCTTGCCTGAAGGGTACGCTTGTGGAATCTATCGACAATTCACGAGTTGCTGTGATCCATACAGTTGTTCAAGCTATTGGGATGGTAACTGTTACTTGTTTGGCTTTTCAACTAACACCATTCTCCGATCCAACTATAAATCCTTTCTTTTCCTTTCCTTTGAATTACCTCTATTACAACTGTAATAAGTGCTGTGTTTGGTTTTATGTTCTGAGTTTTAAGTATGTTCCTTTTCTTATATGGTCATAGCTATAATTGGCCAGATTGTAATCAAAATTCTCCCATTGGGAGCGCATGATAATAAATTGGTTTCTTTGTGTGCATAAAAATCATTTTATGTACTTGTAGATTTGATCATTCAAGTCGTTTACAAAGGAAAAAAAAATAAATAAATAAAAAATAAAACAAGCAGAACTTATAGAGTCAAAATGACTGTACTATATGGACCGAATTGTATAGAGAAAAATTAATAACTCGACATAAAATCTCATCGATACAACCCTCAAATCAATACCAATAAAATACAAATTGGCTGGTGTAGTGGTGATTGGGGCTACACTTGGTAGGGGGGACCGCGTGTTCGATCCACCGCAACAACAATTGGGAGGGGACTGGAACCTAACCACCCAGAACTAATCCTCGAATTCGGATTAGCCCAAAGGGTGAACAGGGTGGAACACCTAAAAAAAAATATAATGATAAAAAAAAAAAAAAGTGTTGAGCATAATAAACTTGCTATACACTCAAAATGGCTCCACCTGACATGAACTCAGATTGAATACATGAAATTTATAAACACCAGTACCACCGCTACCACGCCAAGGGAATTATTGAATGCAAATCAATTGTTGGATCACTTATCTGGTTAAATAAATTGTTTAATTAGCTGTTTTGTTGGATCGCATACTATTTTTGGATAGTATGTAAAGTCTATTATAACCTCATTTTTTTTAACTTTATTCATTGTACTTTCTAAATTACCTTTGAATTTTCCACATGCTTTGTATTTTTTTCCACTTTCTCTTTCTAACTTTTGTCTATAATTGTACTTTTCATCTTTTTTATGTACTGCATTGACTTTCTCTTCTTTAACTATTGTATATAATTGTACTTTTCACTCTTTTTATGTACTTCATTCACTTTCTCCTCTTATTTCTTAAATACCGTGAAAAAACACAAACAAGAACTATATATTGGGACGGACGGAGTAATAACTTCTAGCAGCATTTTGTTGAGTGGAAATTAACCAAAAAGCAGCTGGGAAATGACATCATTTTATTCTTAAAGAAACCAAAAACTTGAAATTTATAACTAAATCAAATTGATTTCTGAGGCTATTTCCTAGCTTTGATAAGTAGCACAGTAGACAGCAAAAAATGAGAAAATAAACACAAACCATAAATGCACATATCAGTTCATTCCTACCCCCTATCTACTGGAAATAATCTTCTTGACTAAAGCTAGGAATTTGATAATACAGCAAGGCCATATTACAAATATTATAATGGGGTGTCAGATATTAAACTCAGGTAAGTGTATGCGGGAACATGCAAAATCTTTTCATTAAATATGATGATGAGGGCTTGGGAAATTATTTCAATATCAGCAGAAAAATACTGCTTAGTGGCCAAATTACGGGAACCATTCCCTAGCATGAATGGAAGAAGTGATTTTTAATTTTAAATGGCAACAAAGTTATATCACCTGGAGGCCTAAACTAAAATAAGATACTCAAACCCATGGAAAGTGTTCAAAGGAGAACATTACTGATTTCAAACACCCCCCGCTTCTTATTATCACTGTTAATCAGTTAAAGGTAACAGAGGATCTTTTTTGTTTATTTTTTTGGTGCTATGGAACAGAGGAGTTATAGGCGCTCTTAAGGAACAACTCCCATTACAGTAGAGATTAATATTGATAGTGATTGGGGTGTAGTCTTTGATTTTCTAGGTCATAAGCTGCTCATAGGGTCGACCCCACTTATGGGATTAAGGCTTTGATTGATTGATAAGGGACAAAATCCTAGGACGACTATTGACCCTCACACTCGGTACACTCCGGCAGTACATCTATATGTCAGCAACTATAATCCCAATGTTGTGCCTATGCAATCGGAACTTTTCAGTCATGGAAACAGGAAGGAAGGTTTAGATTACACAATACTTTTGTTATGGAAGCACCAAATGTTGTTGTCTGTGACAGAAAAAGGGATCATGAAAGAAAACCGCTTCTAGATGAAATCCACAAAAATACTCTATGAGTATGTAAGAAGATTAACAGACCCCCAGATATATACAGCCAAAAGATTGTTAGACAGATAACTGTTTATAGACTGTTGCCCATCAAAAAATACATGTTCAATGAATCTATAAGGTTCATTACTCTGAGGCTTTTTACTTTAATAGACTAAATCAAAATGGTTCATAGAACTGTTTGCATGTATTTCTTATTGTGAAGCAACAGGCAATCATTGCATTAAGGATCAAGGGTCAACTGGCATCATAAATTAAAGACTGTCTACCCCTCTCCCTCTTAGCATGCCATGCTGAAAGCCCCATCAGAAGCATCAAAATATATTGATGTTGGTCTCTTCATACTCATATGGTTTAAAAATTACCTAAACTGTCTAACTCCGAACATAACATTTCTTGCAATTAAACCCTT